AAAAGTGACTAGCTGTGAGTGTGGGAAGGACACATGTGTATATTCCTATTGTGCACATGTAGGTATTTCCTTATTTATTTTCCCAGTGACATTCAGCTCAGAATTGTGTGGGAAAATAAGAATGCATTGTTATCATTGTATGGAAAACTATCAATTCATGATATGACATTCAGGTAATGTGTGAATGGTTCCAGTATAAGGATTTGAGTTTTTAAATTCAGAATGCAAAACAATGAAGAGTGTTATTTTTGAAAACAGCTTTTTTTTTAATTAACTAGTAGAAGATTTTAATTCTTTTTTTCTTGTTTTTTAAAACAAGCAGTTGGGATTCATTACTTGTAAATTCAGTGACTGAATTAAAGCCTATATTCGATAACTCATGATTTTCATACACCTTTAAGCAGATAAAGTCAGAATTTCCCATAAAGTAAAAACATCGGAAGATGATGGGAAATAAATCTTGTGTGTAAGTCTGTGCTGATGCCCTACACCGAGCGTTCACATCTCACCGTGTCCAGACCTTCATGCTCTTGGCCACCTCCCTGCCCTTCCATCTGCATCAGTTCTTTGCAAGTGCGTTTCACGACCTATGAAATCTCAGTCAGGCCCTCCGCGTACTTCTGAGTGGAAGGCCAGAAGCAGAGGGGAGGAAAGGTATTCCACACTCCCGTGCTGTATGTGGAACAGCCTGATCTACCATGACTTCTCTGGAAGCATTGCACGCCCCTCACACAGAGCTGGTGGGGCTGTCCTGAGGTTATTCAGTGAGGTTGCTAATCAAGAGTCAGGTTTTTCAAACAAATTACTTTTTCTTCACACGTTAGGATCCTCTAGAAAAAGCACTGTTGGCCTTACGTATTAAACTGTAAAATACATTTCAAGTTCTTTGTCTTATTTCCTCATTCCACTTTGTTGCTTCCATGAAAATTTAGTAACTGACTATTGCGAGCTTTATACTAAAGAATTTTTAATTATTTGAATTAATTATATCTTGCTTTTCCTTAAAAAGTTGTAGTGTAGCAAAATAAATATTGTTTTGCTCTTTCAATGGTTTGTGATAGTTTTATATAGCAAGTATTAATATCAAGTTTTTAGAATATGAGTGTAAAGCATTAAACTATTTTCATATAAAGTATGTATTATATGGAAGAATGTGTCTAATTATATATAATAAGACAAGCCAAGCTACATTGTTTCTGTTTAGAATTTTACGCTTCTGAAAATATTCTCCAGTAGGTTTGAAAGAGTTTGGAAAAGTAGACAAATACTTATTTCCAAATTGGTTTAAAGTCTTGTTTATTTTTTAAAAGATGACTTCTCAGAAGTTACTGTATATTACGTCCTGTTTCCCAATTGCATGTATTGTTGAAGCATCTGGGCGCAGCTAAGACCGAAGCCTGTCCACATTACTCAGTGTCAGAACTTATAACAGCACCTCTGAAATTCCTCGGAAACATTAACTGTTTCCTGGATCATATTTGAGTGCAGTGCTGTTTCTCTCGATCATAGAAACTCTTCTATGTGAGGAAAACGTAACCAGGGAGCTGTTTAGGCAGAAGCCCCTCAGCTGTGTTTACCTTAATGAGCTGATTGACCAGTGAAATGAAAGGAACCATTTTCCATCCTGTAAGTGAATTTTATGATTGTACATACATGTATCTACTTGCAGAATACTTAATATGTAATATATCTTCTAAAGCCATGTGACTCTAGTTTTGGTAATGTGGAACCCACACCGTCTTTGTTTAACTGTAACCCTTAAGGTCATGTTTAATGCTGTTGCAGACCCACCTTGCCAAACGGAGCTCAGCGGTCTTCAGAAGCGGCTCGGGGTGAAGAAGTTTCTGGGTGAGTAGCAGGTCACTCTCTGACTCCTTCACTGCTCACGTCAGTAACCCAGGGAGACAGCAATGGGAAATCAGTGTTCATCCCACAAAGGTAGACCACACTGAATTTCAGCAATAAAGCTTACGAAGTTTTGGAAAGCCGTTAAACTTAGTTCTATTATCTGACCTGTTGAAAGATGCTAGGTGTGTTTCACTACCCTAATGCAATGCTCATTTTGAAAGTTATTAAGTAAAAAAGAGATTTAAACAATGCTAAAGTTAAAGCATCAGCAGAAACTTCAATTCTAATTCTGTTGGTAACAATTCAAGAGTTGATGGCATGTGTGTATTCAGAGACGAGGGAGAGAGAGAGGCAGGGTGACACGTGGCCTGAGTACCTCAAGGAGAGGTGAACAGGCCTTTTAGAGTGTTTCATCAGTGCTTTTTACAGCTCACTTTTAGTAAGTTAATGTATGTAGAAGATGATGGATGAATATAAATTCCAAATTTTATCCAAAGCCTTGCAATACTTGAATGCTTGGCTGTCAACAGATTGTGAAACTATTATGTATGGTTATTTGCTTTATTCCTGTAAACATACAATTGTTAAATAACCTCTTTTGGGAATAATTTTAGATTCAAAAATTTACAAATGTAAATTTCATACATCCTTCACCCAGCCTCCCCTGAAGCCACCTTACTTCCCAAGAATGATGGCTGGATGTTTGTCAAGTCTAAGAAATTAACATCGATACAGTCCTCTTAGTTAAGCCTCAGACTTTGTCTGGATTTCACCAGTTTGTCCACAGTTGTCCTTTTTTCTGTTTTAGGATCCAACATAAAACACCACATACAGTTTTGCTCTTACTGTTTTCATGTATGCTCCTGGGTATTTAGTGACATGTAACTTTATGTTTTTGGATCTGATTAATCAATTTGTATTATATTATGATTTGCTGTTTTTGTAATTAGCATATTGTATGTTTACATGAAAAGATTTTACATATTACTTGAAAATTCAAAGTTCAAAATAAATAGGCTAATACTTTGTAATGCAGCATTTTCAGATGTGAATCGTCATCATTAGATCAAAGCTACAAAGTATCATGTTTCTTTTACCTCTTTTGTAAGATGCCCTACAGTCCTGCTCACAGGTGTAAAGGTTATGTTGGTACCTGGCTTTGTTTGTGTCTACAGATGGAAGTTCAGCACGTCCAGTGGGAAAAGCCACTGACCTTCAACGGTGAAATGTTTTAGACTTGATCAATGTCTATTAGTGACAAATCTATTAACATCCAGGCTTTGATAATTCAGTGTTACCAAAGAATGAAAATACTTAGCGCCCAGCTGGGAGGAGTCACCTTTGTTCACAAAAATGTTCATAGAAGTGGAAGTCACCGCTGCAGAGCAGTGCCCCTCCCCCGCGGCCTCGGCGCTGTGAGAGGCGGGCGCTGCCTGCCCTCCAGCCCCAGGCTGTCTCGGTCGCGGCCGAGCTCCAGCCTCGTTCTGACGACGCTCTTCCACTTTCAAGGTGCGCAGGCACCGGAGATGAGTTAAATGGTCACACTGACTCTCGCTCTTAACATTTTTATGGCAAATATGGCAAATCATGGTGGTTTTTAAGAGGTAGAGATAATAGTGCTAAAAATTTCCCAGTTTTTGCTGGCCTTAAATCCACAGAAGGTGTTCTCATGTTTTCTGTGTTGGCGATGTTCTGTGTCCCTCATGGAAA